ATTAAAGAGAGTTAGTCAGAGGGAGGGGCACGAGTGTGGAGAGTGCCAGATGACATATTGCTCTGCTTTATTAACAACGGGAGACAATGCCAACAGATTCCCACTCTGCTGGGGCCGGTGCTGGAGGTTCCCGGAGAGGTGGGGGCAGCCCAGCTCCTTCTTAAATTAACCAATTATTCTGGGTACTTTTCTCCTCTCTCTCCCGCCCTCCTTCCTCCTCTTCCCTCCTCCCCGTCTTGCCAGGGCGTCTAACCACCCCATAGTTGCAGTCTGCCTCTCCTCTAGACACTGAGGCTGGGCTGGGGAGTCGCCCACAGAGAAGGCAGGCAGAGTGGACCTGGCACGCAGCAGCAGAAGTCCCTGGCCGGGGTCCTCTGCCACACTTGGATCGCCTCCCACATTAGGGCCACTTCCCCCTCTCTGGCCTCAGTGTTTTTGTCTGGACAATGGGGACATGCAGCCAGGCCCCCTTTATCACTCCTTGCCTCCCACCCCCTCCAGCTGTCAGTCCCCAAAGGCCTCCAGATCCCTGCCTCCATCACCTCACTGCCCCTTCATCGCCATGACGCTAACCCCCAAGGCCAGGTTTCATCCAGGAGGACAGTGTATTCCGGCAGCATCGCTGGCCGAGCCATGGGTGCTGCACCTCGGCTGCTGCATCATCAGGAGGACCTGGCAAGACAGTCCAGAGTGGGCCCTTCTGCAGGTAAAGGGCACAGTGGAACAGTACCTCCCAAGGCCAACCCAGATGGACAGCTGTGACGGAAGGGAAGGCGGGGCCACGGGAAATACTCCATGGACACTGTGCTGGTCACGTTTTCCTCCTCATCAGAGCCTCGTGTGATGGGCTCTTCCTCGCACTTACTTGATGCTGTCAAGCCGACACAGACTCACAGTGACCTGGGGCTGCTCACAGGCCTGAGCCTGGACTCTTCACGGGTACAGCTTGCTCGCCACAGAGCAGTGGTGGTTTCTAACTGCTGACCTCTCAGCTGGTAGTCCAGTGCTTAACATCTAGTGCCACAGGGCTACTACTTAAAGGCATTTATGTGGTTTATGTAGAGACCTTCACAGGACCGTCGAGGTGAGTGCTGGTCTTAAACCTGGTCCAGTAGCCTTGACATTTAAAACTGGCCACCACAGAGCTTTGGTCAGTTTCTGGTGTTTCATTGGTCCACACATTTGACCCTGGGCTACTAGCCCAGGGAAGGAATCAAGATGGCATTAGCTGCATGACCCACCATCCAGGTAATAAGACAAGGCCAGACAAGAGGAAGTGACCAGGGGACTTGAAGCAAGTCCTTCTGGAGGGGCAGATGAGCCTGGAGCAGGAGATGCCACACTTTCAGCACTTGGACAGAGCCCAGCACTGAATGCCACCTGCCCTCCTGGATGCTGGCCCACCTGGTCATGACGTCTATGCCCTCACTGGTCCTTTGTGCTCCAACCTCACATCTCCCCACCCTCAAAGCTTCTCTGGACCACCAGAGCCTGGGTGCAGCACAGCTGGGGAAGGCCGGGATGCCATTAGCCCCAGATGGTCACCCTAGCCCTACCTCGGGTTCCCCTCTCCCTGGGGTCCCAGGGTGGACGGAATCTCCAGTGGGCCCACTGAACCTGTCCCACCCTGGGTGAAGAAGGCACACTGGATGCCTTTCCAGGAACCATTTGCTCCGGGTGGAAGCCCAATTTGGAGGAAACCAGCTCTCATATTCCCAGCCCCCACTCTACAGGGAGTCTGTTCACGGTCACCAGCCGACCCTGCTGCTATCCCTAAGAGCACCTGGTCTCTTCAGTCATAGAATGGGGGGCTGGAGAGAGGGGGCAAGGCAGAGAGGACACCGAGTCACCATGGGTGAGGACACAGAGGTAGGAGGCTGGCCAGTTAACAGTCAAACTCCTACAGGCTTCACGCCCCCCGCTCACACTCCTCCGGGTTCACAGCAGGGCCAAGGCGAGCCCTTGGCAGAATGACCAGGAGCGGAGCTCAGCGGCAGGGCGTTGGGATAGTGATCTTGGAAGGTCCCCCTCTCAGTGCAATCTCCGTGCACACTGCCTTTTGGGTGCCTAGCCAGGGTCTTGCCTTCACTCTGATGTTGGAGCTGAGCTTCTCGTACCCACTCGGTGGCATGGCCCAGAGGAAGCAGAGCCTCAGACTTCTGCCCTGCCCACCCTGCCATCCCTGAACCAGAGTGCCCACCTTTACCCGGCCAGAGCTGGAGAGTTCTCCCACAGCGGTGGAAAGTAGGAGCCTAGAGCCCACACTGACCGCAGCACATCAGGCTGGGGACTTCTGGGAGCTCTGAGGGGTGACACTCTTCCCTCTGCAGCTCAGGGCTTTCTTTCTCTGCTGACCCTGTGCCCCTTCCCCACCAGGGGCTAGCCGCTTCCTATCCCGGAGGCTGAGTCCCTATTCCTGGGGACTTAACTTCCTGCAGGGCTTCTCCTCGCCCTCTGCCCTCAGTCACCTCCTCTGTGAGTCCATCCTGCCCACCTGTCTTCATTCCACTTACCTGCACCCCCTTGCGAGTCCAGCAGAGGGCACCACACTCAACACAAAAAGCCCTGGTCAGCGTGGAGACCCACCTCCCATGCCCAGTGGATCACACCTGTGTCCTCGCTGGGAGTGTGGTTCCTCTGTCATCCACCTAACTGTCCAACCTCGTGCTGGACCCACACAGCCAGTGACACTGAGGGGGGACCTGGCAGTGGCTTCACTCCTCGGCTGGGAGGGCGGGAATCCTACCCACTGGACCCACAGGACTGTCCCACCGGATAGTCTGCACTCAGCCCTGTCAGGGTGGAGCCTGGAGCTCAGCTCTGTCCTGACATTCAACACAGGGGCTCAGGGAGGTGAAGCAGCAGGCCCAAGACCACTGGGCCAGAGGGGACAGGCCAGGACTCAAAGGAGGGGGTGACAATAAATAGGCGTAAATGAATGAGGGGTGGGCTGAGCGGGTGAATGAATGAACGAGGGATGAACAGCGAAGGTGTGAATAAATGACCGGGGGAGTGAAAGGGAGGGACGAACTGCGTGAAGAACAAATGAGAGAGCGAGTAAACGAATCATGAATGATGGGGGACTCAGCGGACAAGGGACGACAGATGAGGGAATAAACGGGGGTGAAACACACGAAGCTGTGAAGGATGTAACCAAATGAGGGACCCAGTGAGCGGGCCTGTGAATGGACGTATGGACGGGACCAAGTGCACTGAGGGGAGCGGGCAGGCCAGGTGGGCAAACTGCTCAGGTTCCTGACAGGGGACCCTGGTGCACAGGGGCAGGACCAGTCCTGCAGGACACTGTGCCCTCCGCCCACCTGACCCCACAAGCCAGCAGGTGTGGGGACACAGTAGATGTAACTGGAGACTCCTGCACTGGCCTCTAGCTGCCTCAGTTTCCTCAGTGATGTAGGGTCTAGGGGCCCAGGCCCAAGCCCTCTGCAACCCTCCATAGGCCCCGGCTCTCTATTTCTGAAGGATGATGGCAGGGAGGGAGGTGGACAGGAGTTATCAGGTGACCCTTCTGGGGAGTCAGTGGTCAGAAGAGCGCACAGGACCCTCCTACCTCCTCCCCGTGTCATGACAGTGGCTACCATGTCTCCCTCCCCGGTGGTGATGGCCGCCAGTGTGACACTAGGCGCTCACCTCGCAGGTAGTAAGGCTCCTGTCCAGCCAAAGCCTTACATGGAGAGGCAGCCACGGCAGCCCCACAGGAGCCAGGGGAGGGAGCTCTCAGAACACCTCCAGGTACTGAGAGGGCGGCCACCCCTCAGCTGGCCGGAGACCAAGAAGGTGCTGGGGTTCTCAGTGAGCGGTCTGCCTGATAATCCCAGTGTGAACACCATGTGTGGGGTGTTAGGTTGTGCTGTGTGTTATGTGAAGTGTGAGCTGTGTGTGGTGTGAGGGGTGCACTGCGGGCGTCTGACCACCTGGCACACAGAGCAGGCATAAGAAACCGGACTGTGCACATAACCCACAGAGGCATATGCTCCCTGAGACCCGGGGAGACTGACGCTGAGGCCACAGGACGAGATGCAGGAGAAAATTCCTGGTGACCACACGATCCACTCTCGTGCACACGTGGATAACAGCACATTAATGACCCCCACCCCCCATGCCCAGCTGTATTTCAGCGACATCCTGCCCTGGACACTGGAAGACGGAGTGCGACCTCCACCACCCTGCAGTCCTGTCACCTCAGAGAGCCTGCTGGAGCGAACGGAATGCGGGAGAAGCCACCACCACAGTGCTGACATGAGAACAAGGCGGAGAGCATGTCTGCCCATTTGGGAGACTGACCTCCTCACAGCTCCAGGAGGTCCCTGGGCCAGCTCTGGTGACACATCATCTTCCTATAAGGAGCCCATGTCCCCAAGAGCCAGCAAACTACAGACGGAGAGGAGAGCCGAGGTCAGCGAGGACCCAGCCACCTTCCTGTCTGCAGAGCAAGCAAGTACGCGAGATTCCATTCAACAGTGGACATTTATAAACAGGCTGATGGGGCAGCAGCCCATGCTGCAGGCCTACACGACCTCCCCATCAGCGTGGCCCAGCCACTGTCCCTGTCCTGATGGGCAGCAGTGACATCAAGGGTCAGATAGGCCCACACAGTTCATCCATGGCTTTAGGTCACCACTGAAGTGGGAGCACCAGCATCACAGCCACTGGACTCCTCCTGTCCTGGCCCACTCGGCACCTGCCAGCAGCTCCCGACCCGCAGGAAGCCTGGATGGAAACCCCAGCCCGGGGAGCTGCTCCTGCAACCGAGCCAGAGCGAGGGCCTGATGCTTCAGCACGGGTGGAGCGGCGCCTGCACCGGCCGAGTAACCAGACGGCCCAGTGGGGCCCAGCTGGCTGAGGCCCAGGCGCTGCTCAGGTCAGGGGACACCGGTGAGGCGGGGTGTCGCAGTGTGAGGGGCCCCCTCCCAGGAGCAGTGAGGCCACCCCCGCACGTTTGCAGCACCTGCACTCACAGGAGCTCAGGGGCAGGGACACGGTCAGCTGTCGCCATGCACTGTCACGGACGTGGACAGCAGTGGGCACGCAGCAGCCGGGCAGCCCGGGGCGCATTCCAGGGAGCCCTCGCAGGCCGCCTCTGTCTTGACTGCAGCCCCCAGGGCACCACGCTGCCTGGCCCGCCTCTGTCGCGTGAAGGCAGCGTGCAGCACCTGCAGTTGGCTGCGCTCCTGGGCGCTGAAGCAGGGCTGCCTTTCCGCAAAGTCCAGCACCGTGTGGAAGGAGGCTGCGGCCCGCTCCCAGGCGTCCTCTGCGCCCAGCTCCAGGCCAGCTCCCTCGGCCTTGCCCTGATCCCACACCGCTGGGGCGGGCTCTGTGGGGACCCTCCCACACTCCACCTCCTCTGCAGTCCCCGTCCACTCTCCAGCCTCTCCTTTCTGAAGGCCGCCGTTTGAGTGGGACACGGGGTCCCCCACCAGCTCCAGGATGTGAGTCAAGACCTTGCTGGGCTCCTGGCCCTGCACACGCTCTGCCCCCTCGTCCTCAGAGGAGGAGCCAGCGGTGAGCACTGCGGAGGGCCACAGCTTCCGCCAGGCCCGCTGCAGCACAGTGCTGGGCACGGAGCTCCAGGCGCAGGCCACGTGGAACATGGCGTCATGGATGCTGTAGCGGGCATGGAAGTCCTGCAGGCCAACGGGCGGGTTGATGAAGCTCTGCATGAAGGCCCGCCGGACGCCCTGGTCCATGGGCTGGATGAGCGTGGCCACGCCAGCTGGCAGGAAGATGGTGAAGATGCTGTCTGCTGCCAGCGCCGTCTCCGGTGGGTGTGCCCGCGAGCTGTCAAGCAGAAGGATGGCTTTGCCGTCCTCGGGCAGGCCCACCGTCCGGAAATGCTCTTTCACTGAGGGTACAAAGACGCGGTGGAACCAGTCAGAGAAGATGTCCTTGTCCACCCACGCGTGGCCCTGCACCTGGTAGGCCACAGGCACGTGCTGGAGGCCTGTGAGCGCCCGCGGGCCGCCGCACTTGCCGACCACCAGCGGCTTGACCTTGTGGGAGCCCGCGGCGTTGGCGCACATGAGCACGGTCAGCCGGTCCTTGCCTGGCTTGAGGCCCGGCCCAGGGCCCCCGTCCGGGGCAGCATGGGGCAAGCAGCGCAGGAAGAGGCCCATCTCATCCGCGTTGTACAGCTGCTCCGGGGAGAGGCCATGCTCGGCCACCAGGCTCCGGAAAAAGCTGCAAAACTGCTCCGCCGCCTGGCGGTCGGCCACCTGCTTCTCACTGGCCATGTCCAGCTTCTTGATGCCATGCCGGGCCTTGAAGCGCCAGAGCCAGCCGCCCGAGAAGACACAGGGCTCGGTTAGCTGCATCTGCTCGTAGAAGTCTTTGGCCTTCTCGATGAGCATGGGGCCCGAGATGGGCATGCCCTCGGCACGCTTCAGCAGGAACCACTGGTACAGCATGCGGTCCAGGTGCTCCAGCTTCGGGGTGTGCAGCGTCCGCCGCTGCGCCAGAGCCTGGCTCGAGTCCGAGTTGGAGAAGAAGCGCAGCAGCTGGGCCTTGTGGGCCTTGATGTCGTAGAGAGTGGACATGGCCACGTTGTACTCCTCCATCAGTGCCCTGCGGCTCTCCCCCTTCTCCAGGCGTGAGCAGATGTCAATCTTCTCCTTCAGGGTCAGCACCACCCGCTTCCGCTTCTCCCCCGAGCCCTTCCTTGTGGGCAGCTTGGAGGCCATGTGGGGGCTGGCCAGTCCCCGCACCCAGGAGACCGGCCCAGCTGGGCTATGGGGGCCCACGTCAGTCCTCCTGCCTCCACACCTCAGGTTCCTGGTCTTCTCTGCTCCTCGAAGGGGCCACCCCAGAGCTCTCAGTGGGCAAGGGGCCAGCAACACATCACCTTCGAGATGCTCTGCCTGCTGGGACCCCGGTCCTGTCTGCAGAAGGTGTTGACCACTGTCCAGCTTGGCCTGTAGTTCCCCCTCAGTCTAGCAGGCAGCTGGTCCCAGTGGGCTGGTTTCAGGTTAATCAAGGTTCCTGCGTCTGCAGAGGGGGACTTTGCCTGAAACGTTGTCCCGTGTGCACAGAACAGGCCACTGGAAGCAGAAGGGGCAGAGAAAGACACAGGTCATTGGATCTCAAACACCTCGAGCTTGACCAGAAAGAAGAGCAAATGACACAGTCCTGGTGATGCCAGGGATGCAGGGCAGCGATCAGCACGTCTCAGGAAATGCTGGCCCTGTCCTGCCCTGTGTGGACACCAGCATTACATGGTGGCTGGAGCCTTCGGGATGCTTGTTGGGACCACATCTCCAGAGAAATGGGAATTCACCTCAATGCAGCAAGGGCCTCAACTAGATCCCAGCTCTGTCACAACTGGTTTGGGACAGGTCCCCTCACTGCTTGGGGATTGTTTTCTGATCTGTGACGGGAGGAGCTGGTCCTTGAGGGCCCCCACATTTTAATGTCTGAGGGTGGCTCTGTGACAAGGATGCTGCTGGCCCTAAGGGAACACAGGAAAGGAACTCAAGGTCCAGCGTCCAGGAGACTCAGTTACAGCAACTCAGAGAAGCATGGGACGTGCGACCACACCGCCACTCAGGTGGAACTGGCTGGGCTCCCCGGAGGTGGCGAGGCGGCTGTCACCGCTGTGGGGCTTGGCACAAGGGTGCAGTGCGCCGAGGCAGCACCCCGATGCAAGCTTCCGGGACACAAAGCTCCCTCGGAAGGATTCTGACGTCAAGATGTGAATCACCCGCAGCAACAACCAAATGACATGAAATAATCCTGGTGAGGACACAGTAAGCCGGAAAGGCGACACTGTAGACATGGTGAGAGTGGAGAGGTTCTAGCCTTGTGCCTTTTAAGGGGCTGTATGAATGGGACTCGGACATACTGTGTCCGAGAAATGGGAAAGGGGGGACAGAAGCGGGGCCCACACAAGGCTGGAGGGAGGGCCTCACCCCCACATCTCAGTCCTTCCTGCGGAGGGATCGGGCTGCTGAGAGCCAGGGAGGGAGGGAGAGCAGGGGAGGAGGCCGGGCGGGGTGAGGGTGGGAGC